ATGACAAGCCTGGTAAATTTAGTTACCACGTCTGATGTGATAGAATGGGAGAATATCGATTTGCAAAATCATCAAATTCATCTCCCATGCCACGTCTAGGGTGCAGCAGATCATCGATGAGGGTACATTGTCACGTAATAATGCCCAATTTTGTTGTCGTATCCGATCCCAAGCCTTGCAACCAGATCGTAAGACAATCTTGCAGCGTCTCGATTAGCACTACCTTACAACCCTGCTTGTCTGCAGTCCGTAAAAGCCCGAAAAGAAAGAAAAGAGCGACGATAGCGAATATAACACTTTTTATTTTCATTTGACCACCCAAGTCTTTTAAGGCACAGCGCGTGAGTCCAACTCGAACATCAACTCTAATCGACAACCAATGACATTCGATCTACTCGTGAATACGCTTCACTCACGCTCGTTTGGCAAAAGTTCACTACAAATATTCCCTCCCAGGAGTGTGAGTTGTGACACATTGAACGCTCGAAAACTATTGGAAGGAATCTACAAAGCGGACAACGGGTCTCAGGGGTCGGCCAATACGGTAGGATGGACAGGATGGGGGTACACGAGATTGTAGAATAAGTTCGTCGTTGCTTGAGAATGTGGGATCAACATTGGTGTCTTCCGTATAAGCAGCTTTGAGACGATCTATGCTCACAGTATCCAGCGAACCGCTTTTGTCAATTACGAAAAATTTGTCGGTTCGTTCTACCACCTTAAAGGGGCCATCGTAGAGTGGTTACAAGGGTTTTTTTACACAATTAACGAGGACAAATACATGGGGAGATGTGAGCACATTTTTATAGGGGCTGAGGACATTCTTATAGGGGTTGCTCAATTTTCCTTCATTAAACACTTCAACAGACCGACGTAGACAAAATCAGCATTGTTGTCTGGAGTTGCGACCATTTCGCCAGACAAATACAAGTTCTCCTGGCGTGGAGTCAATGTCTTCCTTTATGGTGTTGCGGATGGCCAGTAAAATCAATGGTAATGAGTCAGACCAGTGACTCGAGGCAGACTTCGCAATAATAGCCAATTTCAATTGACGGTGGAAACGACCAACCAAGCCATTAAATGCTGGATGGTATGCTGTAGTTCGAAAATGCTAACATCCAGCATACCAAAATCGTATTGCGCTGACAGCCAAGTGATGACGTATTACCAGTCGACTCGCGAGCTCTGTCCAAATTGTGGCGGTGATATTGACTTCCCCGAACATCGGGTGATTCCCATGACCAACCTGGTAACCGTCATGTGAGTCACCTCAGGCGTTTCCCCACCATGAACCCGATATTTGACCGCCACTGTCAATGTCTACATCAATTAGGTGCCTACTCCAAGCCACTTCCCGATTCCCTTCATTTTCTACAAGGTATTAGCATGCCCAACTCATTTAGAGAAACAACGATCCAGCCAATGCATCAGGAATAGGCAAGACGAGTTATCCAAACACATCTTTCTACTTCTCAAAAAAGACGTCGAAAAATAATTTCCATGTACAGAAAATAGGGCTACTAATGCAGTCGTTGATGCGACTCAACTTCTTGCGGCATCAAGAATTGTCCGCGCTTCACCAACGAATCCCCGAAATGGTCTGACGCAGGGTGTTGATGCTGGCAACCAGCAATTTCTCCTCCGCTGCTGAGAGATTCAAGTTGACCATTGAAGAGACCCCCATGGAGTCGACCACGCATGGCACGCTTGTGAACATGGAATCTTTCACACCGAATCGGCCCTAGTGGGGAAAGAGGAGACATTTGATAATTCGCCAATTAAAGCTAGCCGAATTAACACTTCCGTTGTGTTCGGTTGCGTGTACATGTGTAGCCAACACCATTGGTGACAATGGTCTCTTGCTACAAGCGTTGTTGCTAAGACATCAGCATACTGCTACACCTATTGTTAATCCACACAAAACGGCCCGTTTGAATGTCGGTCGCATGGCAGCAGTAAGGCATTTTGTGTAAGGGAGATGAGTTAATTAATCAAGACCAACCTCGACGCATGTAGTCACTGGGAGGACGACTCCTCTGTTGCGAAGAATGGCGTTGCACAAGTTGGCACAGCACACCCCAATGGCCCAAGACGTGTAGCCCTTCATGCGGATAATGTCGTAGGCACTAAATGACGGAACAGAGACATTAGAGGAAAAATCTAACTGCTAAACTAAGGAATGAATGTCCGGAAATGGGGAAATAAAAACACACATTCCTACCTAGCGACAACGGCCTTGTGGACAGCTTGGAAGTCATCTGGATCGTCGCTTTGGCCAAGCTTTGGGTAGGCTTCAAGTAGGTTTAAGCCACCAATGGTTACCTTACTCCATACCGGCACTAAACGATAATAAATACATGATTTATATAAGCAGGATATAGACCAAGAGTGTAAAATAATTTTGTAGCTCACCGCTTGAATCGCCATGCTCGCCGACGATGTAACCATGAACGGAGCTGGAGTTAACATTCAGCTTTCTGCCAAGAATGTGTCTAAATCGCGCGGTATCGAGCATTGTTCCAGATCCAAGTACTCGATTCTTTGGGAAGCCGCTCAACTTCCACGTGACATACGTCATTACATCAACTAGGTTAGCAGACAACGACACCAGTAATAGAAATTGGTATTTTTGAATTGAGAGCACTCAGAACTGAACTTACCCGGATTCGAAACGACCACAAGGATGGAGTTGGGGCTTTGTTCAACCAACGCGGGTATGAGATCTACGATATTTGAAAAAGAACGTTCAGCATCCTTTTAAAACTTCTCCCCAAAATATTTTGCCGTTAACTTTATTGAACATCGAGAAAGAATCATTGAAAAACCAACCATAGCATCGATCATATTAAAGACAAATCACAGTCAAGCTACCTGTTTAGTTGTAAGCATATCCCAAATGAAACTCTTAATGTTTGAATGCATAAAATTGGGCGCCGAAAGCCTTGCGGCACTGTACAAGACTTCAGCTACTATATAACAGGAAAACGATTTTCAAAATCATTAATGAACGCACTTTTAAATATGTCGACATTTCGCTGAACAAGATTCAGTCTCGATTCACCAACAGCTTGACGGGCACCAGCAGTTATTACGACAATGTCAGAGTTTGCCGTTTTTGTAATGTCTAAAGAAGCAAAAAACCATTTTAAAAAGGGCTTACGTTATACCATAATGTAAAAAAGATAAAAAACAACATTGCAACAACTTACCAGTTCCGCCAACAACATTACATGATTCAATGTACTGCGAACTTTGTTCTAAATCCATCACCTCACCATTGCATTTGTCTTCGACAATGTCATAAAGAACAAGAGTGTCTGAGACAGACTATTGGAAGATAAACACATGAACTCAAATTACCTTTAACATGATTGCAAACGCAGCAGCCATACCCACTGAGCCGACACCAACAACGCTAATTTTTGTGTTATGTACATTACTAGGCCCACGTTCTAAAGGCATAAAAAGTGCACTGTCAGACATTTCGGAGACGCGATGACACAAGAATGGAACGAAAAAAGACGACGTACGATCCCAAGGTCGCTATTTATAGGTTCATTAATTAAAACACTTGGAAGTTTGTTTAACTTAGGATTAGGCAAAGTCAATCATTGAAAATTTAAATTGATAAATACTTAAAACTAAATTATATTATAATAAATTCAACGACTATGACTCAAAAAATTAGAGCAAAAGAACTTGAAATGTGTCAGTGAACGAAAATCCAGGGATTCAAAAAATGATGAGAAGTTGGTGTTATGTTAAAATTCCAAATTGCCCATATACTTATTTAAGCAAAGGTGATGTAGTTTCGACAGCGTAGGTTTCATGAACAAATCAGCATTGTCACGTTACTTAAGCACATTTTTATACACTGTGAAATTATTTACTTTTTATGATTCGGTATAATTATTATAATGGGCTTCAAACCCTAGGTTATGGTGCTTGGTATGTTAAAGTATTCTTTACTATACATCACAGCGAAACGGCTATTCTCTAATGTAGTAATGTTGAAATGTAGTATGTAGTCTAATGGCCGTGACAACAGTTGCCTCAAGGCGACTGTGATTCGTGACTCATGGGTCAGGTGACGCATAGGTCAAGCCTTCAAGCCAAACGCGTGTTAGCGTGTGCAAATGGCCAATGCACCATGTGATTAAAGACGCTTCGTTTGCAATAAGTACTTACTGCGCCTAGTCAACGCAGGAGATTGATACGCTCTCTGGGACATATCTCTGTATGCGTTTCAACAAAGCATCAGTAAGCCTGTTTCTGTTTCGAACACACCGCTTGCTGGGTTGGGACAGACGAATTTAAGCTGATTGCCTCGTTTTGGGCTTGTAAACGTCATAGCTGAGTTGGAGCAGATAGTTGTGTGCTCGTAATCACTACACTTAATCAGATTACCCTTTGAGTATACGTATTGCGGTCTAGTTGCAAGGCTTGGGATCAGATACTAAGTCAAAATTGGGCATTATTACGTAACTGTGTGCTCCCATCGATGATCTGCTGCACCCTAGACATGGCATCGGAGGTGAATTTGATGATTTTGCAAATCGATATTCTCCCATTCTATCACATCAGACGTGGTAACTAAATTTACCAGGCTTGTCATTTGTGCATCTTTGAGTAGGCGAACAACGAGATGAGGCACCAACCTTTTTTAGCTGCTGGGAGTAGGTTTATGTGGAATGTTGTGACATCAGATGTTTTGTTGGGAGACGTCCGGTGACACTGCATTTCGATTCCTCCTAACGCCAGAGGAGGTTCTCACAAGTAGACACACTTTAAGCACCACGACAGATAAACGCAAAGAGTCGCGTGTAAGGCCTTTACGACTGTCACGGCAGATTGGTAAAGCGACTGTCATTTTATCAATTGAAATGTGTTTGGACAAGCTCGCTGTTTGAGTGGAGGTCAATTTTCATAAAAAATGAAATGTCTGCAATACTTCATTTCGACGCGTCGGCGAATATTCTTGCTGTTTTATTCGGCATCGGTTAAATTGTACAGATAGAGCACTCGGGTCTACTCTGAAATTAGAACACATGAGTGAAAGTGAAGTTGCAACGCATTCGCCTGTGTGAATTTAGAAAGGCGCAATGATTGTGGAGCGTTGAGACGCAAGATGTGAACGAACGAGTCCAGCCTCAACGATTATCCTCTTGCAAAATTACTGCCATTCGAACGCCTTCCTCGCGAATTTACCTGCACACTGTTCCACACTGTTGTTAGTTGTGGACAATACTTAAATGAATAAGGAGACGTGACACCGTCCATAGATGCTCAAGTCTGAATAGTTGTGCGCCGAGGCAGTAGCGGAAGAGATATTGGCTGCTTGGCAGGATGCTTGTGGAAATCGTGAATGCCGTGACAACGCCACACGTCAACACGCCGGTGCTTCGCGTTCAAGCACAGGTTTCCAATCATTCAGTCGTCGTCGTTGTTGTCGTCGTCGTCGCCTGAGACGCGTTGGAGATGGCACGCCTATCGCCCCTAAACAGGATGCATACGCGCGCTCGGTTGCACGAAACTCCAGTTCTGGCTTTAGTCATCAGTAGGACGAGACTACTAGCAAAACAACATATTTACCAAATTTGCCAAACATGTTTTTGTGTGCCCGCGCGTGTGTCTTGGGAGGCGTCACGCGTGTTTGGCGTGATGGAGGCGGTTGATGAGGTGAGGTGAGGGCGAGAATTCATGGCCCCATCAACATGTCGACGCACGTACACACACACACACACACACACACACACACAAGACCAGACCAGCCTCAATCATGGCAGTGTCGCCTAGACAACTGCCAATTCTCCTTATGGAATGTTTTCATTGGCAAAGAATTTGGTGGTGGTGGTGGTGGTGATGGTGGTGGTGGAGGAGGTGTTTGATGACCATCGGGCAGATGTTTTTTAAAGACGTGGCAGTGTTGGGAGGAACAGTAGCAGAGTTGGGCGTTTAAACGTTGACGGTAGACTTTACCTCAGAGAGGGTGATGCCTAAATTGCCCCTTTGCCAAGCAACCAACCACACTTTCTGTGTGTGTATGTGTGTGAAACAGTACAACCGACGAATCGGATGTTCGCCAAATGTCACGCCCACTTTCATTACACTCCCTCAACACAATAATTACTAGTGTCGTCGCCATCGACAGACGTCAACAAATCGCGATAATGTGAATGCAAGTGGCGTCGAATTTGTGGAGGAGTTGGGGAGGAACGCTGTGGCGTAAAACAGCGTGTACGTCATCCTCATCACCATCACCACCAGCAGCAGCACGACTGAGTTATGGTATAGATGATATCTTACGCCCGACACATTCCGTCTGCATTATGTCATGAGACGGGAATCCGGTGTGAAATGTGTCGTAAAAATTGGTGTGGGTGGGGCGCTGTGATTGTGTGCAATGAATTATGCACAGTTTGGTGTAGCTAGAAGTCTACTCATGAGATCCCAAGCCAGGCTCCGTCATAGAGCTGACCACGTGGTCCCGTGATCGGTCGAGGTGGATGAACTGTTGTGGCATGCATGTAGTAGTGATGGGTCAACGTTGGAGTGACAGTGACATGTCACCTCACTAACTACTAGACGTTAAAACACCCAAGAAAAATTACAGAGGTGACCAAGCACCGTGTGGGATAATGCATAAACACGAGTGAGGACATAAGTTAGCACAATGCACATCAACTGGACTCAACTCAAGTGCGCTGACTGGTCATCCAACACAGCGTGCATCATTCGAACCAATGGCACTTTTGTTCAAAGTACACTGAAGTGAGATGCCGGTTCAGTACGGTATTGCTGGCAGTGCAACCTTCGATATGAGGGTGTTTGTACATCCAATGATGGTTACCGATGACCTGCCATGCGATGAACCCACAAATTGTTTCGTGGCGAATTCGGAGATGGGCCTCACCCAGCGTCATTTTGTGTCGTGCGGCCGAGTTTGAAGATTCATCGTCTTAAGCAGTGACTCACTCTCGCTATCCTTGCCTGTTTGATTTCTAATCACTCATTATCACGTGTGTGTGTGTGTGTGTGTGACTAGGAAATAAATCAGGTGACTGGAGGGAGTGCAGCTTGGAAAGTCGAAGAGGGCGGTAGCAGCGATTTCCTTTTGAGAGTAAAATGTGTTTACAGGTGTCGAAGTAGCCGTGGGCAACGTGGAGGTGCGTAGAGCAAGGCCGCGGTGATGGTTAAGAGCATGCTTGAAAAGGGTGTGTTGTCGAGTGGCTTGTTGAGGCACGTCTGACGTTAAATGATTGCCTTGTCTTTATGTCAAGTGGTCCTCATGACTCTTCTTTCGTCACCCTATCTGTAATGAATCTTATTGATTTACGTCCAATAACCCCGTGGTCGCAGCTTCCAACACACGTCCCCTCTTTCACGTCAATCACGTGAGGCCGCCGGTTCATTAACCCCTCTGCATGCTCCACCACCACCATCCTCTTTAGTCTTGTGACCACAGACGCCTGTGTTTATTTTTGCATATCCACTCAACTGTATCAGTAGGCACACACAACTTGGTTGAGCTCTCTTGCAAACGATCGTGGCTGGGTTACTTCCTCTTAAAGGTCTTCAACATATTCGAACCCCAAGTCGACCAACAGGCAGATTCGTGTTGATGACATGCTCAAGGGGACAATTAAATGGATTCACCAAATGATATTTCCAGTTCTTCATGGTCATTCGAGCACTGTTCTGCCGTTTCCATCTTGGAAGGACAACAGATCTTAGTTCCGCATAAGGTCGTGGGCATGTTGGATGACACACTGATCTGAATCAATCCCCTGTCTTTGGCCATCTCACTGGCCTACATTGAAGATCAGCTGCCAACCTGAGACATGGAATCACTTACAGATGAACTGCGCCATCATTATGGAGGACATGGATGGACGGCTCGTGATTGGCCAATTAATTCTACACGGCTGTAGCTTTCTTCCACTTACTGGCCACCGGCAATTCTGTTTCACTAATATTCGACTACTAATATGCACACGCGTGTTTAGGTGCAGCAGGGTAAACCAGGACTGCTTAAGCAAATTTATTGCCATCGAGACAATATTGCACGCTTGAGAACAGAAAGGTAACCCTTCAAATAGTGCATTCGTGGGTCTAATTTTGTTGCCAAACGCTTTGCGTCCAAGCAGCCCATACTAACACGAACTTCTGTTTCTTGCCTTTACGGGCAGTAGAGCTTTTTTTCAGGTAATAGCGCTGGTGAAGTGAAACAGGAAGCTTCTAACCTGAATTCGCACTCTCAAAACGCAGCCCTGTCAATGCAGTTTACTATTGGTAGAAAGTAGTGTTTAATGTCACAGCTTGGCTGATTATGTAGAAACTGATAATGAGTTAGTGGAGTATTGGATTGATCTGTAATGGTGTCTTCAGAAATGTTTGGTTTTTATCATGAAGAACAATGCAAGTAGCATGTTATAAGCCATGAAACACTGTGATTAAAATTTGTGTAATCTATCTAAGATCTTAGTTGACTCTACAAGTGTTGATTGTCCTAGGATCCCACAAGGTACCTGAGGCATTTAGCTAATTCCAGAACGCAGAGGGATCGTTAGAGATCCGGCCTTGATGAAGGTAGTTTAAGTAATTAACAACTTTAATAAAAAAACAGCTTAGCGACATTATTCTTCTCTAGCAACCCTACTCAAAATGTAGCAAGGTGCAACGAGATTCGCGTTAATGACACCAAAGTGGCTGAATTAATCAAATTGATATTTCTAATCCAACGTGCTCAACCGAGCACTATTCAGTCTTTTCCAATTTGCCAACACGTTAGGTCGTCGCGAGTCACTTTTTGGCAGCGCCTATGAGGTGCTGGCTTAATAAACTGATATCAAGACTATCACTGACCACTCAATTTATGAAATACAAAGCATGTGCCGACGGTAATCTCCAGCGGGTCATGTTTAGCGAATAGTGTAATTTGCCGAGACGTCTGATCAAGAACGCGTAAAACTCCTACCACGAATCACACCGTTTCACCACCTGTCCGTTTTCTAGTTCACTCAGAATTACACGGCTTACCAGAACACATCACTTCCGTACCTCGTGTGGTTCTCTGCGAACTTGCAAGCACGGCCTACTGCGCATGGTGACTGAACAAAGACTACATTGCACTTGTTTACCAGTCTGCTCTCACAATGCTTGTCAAGATAAAAAGTTATTCAACATGCCCACCACAACCAGTTGAATGGGGAAAGCATTGGGGTGATCCAAGCGTTAATTTCTGTCCACAGATAAGGTCTCGTACGCGACCAATATACTTGTAAACCTCTTATGAAAAATTCGGACGTAACTTACAACGCTTCTCTACCCCTACGATCATTTGTGCGGTTAGGCAATTGTGGAATAGCACACGTCTTGATTGCAATACCTGACATTTCTCCACGTTATTTTCGCCCGATCTCCTCACCACAGTGTTGAAGAACTCACACTACAAAAAAACTCTTAATGAGAGCACAATGAATACGAGCAGATTTCTGCAGATATTGGTTGAGGTTTGATTCAGAGCGTCGAATTCCATACAGAGCATGGCTAAAGAGTTGTTCTGGCAGTGATTCACCTCACCTAGTGTCCATTTATGCAGCAAGGGAAACCGTGCCTTAAGCATTGAGTTTCTATGTCTGTACACAAAATGGCCCGCGTCTAGTCCCAATCGCCTTTGAAAATGACGCTTGATTGTTTTCGCTCGGCCAAGGCGAAGCATTCATGCGCCCTAATGATGTGTCGATCCTGATTCCTCATTGGTGCTGATTCCCGAACGCAAACAAAAGACACATGGTGGCAACGAAATGTGCACTACTGGTGACTTCTCACCGGAAACGTAGCTGACACATTTTTTGAACCACGTGTTTGGCAAGAAGAGTTAGAGGTGGCTACAACCGAGCTTGTTACAGAAAGTAAGCGCGGTACAGAAAACGTTGGAGATGTGAAACAGGAGTGACTGCATGCAATTGCAATGAAGGCAGGATTCAGCACAGGTTCTGACACAACCTCATTTTCCGTCCCGCCACACCGTGCGTGTCAGAACTGTCGTCGTCGTAGGAGAGGCAACGCTTTAATTAATCAATTTAAAGGCTTGCTTTAACACAGAGAGTATGACACGCAAACAGCTAATAGGCACATCATATAGTGGGTTCCGTTGTGATTTATCGGCATTAACGATTTCGCCCCCATACAACAAGCCAGACCCGAAAGATAAATGAGGCTTCTTTATTCATAAGACACAAGTGCACAAACTGGCTATGTTTGTAATGTATAAATAGCGCTTGCACACGGTTTAGATGGAGTTAACATGTTCTCCTGTCTGCGTTCAATGCACCTAAAGTGTAAAAGAGGACATCTGTGAGCGGATTGGCTACTGAGGAGGCTAGCACACGCACTTCACGCCCCCAATGCCCCACCAAGTCACACAACCGGCGCCGTGTTGATGTCGCCGGGTTCAACTTCATCCACATCAACCAACTCCCCAGGCTGGTATTCAACATTTCAGTTGAGCTGTCTATTCGTCGTCTACAGCCACAGCCACCGTAAGGCGTCATGATCTGTACACACCACAATTTCGATGCCTATGTTTTAGATCGTCTAGTAGAAACGCAAAATTTCATGCACAATAATTAAAAGGCCCTGCTGCTGCCCAAACGCTCTTGACTATTCTGAGACGTTATGTTGGTCATGCACCAAGGGACTCACTGCACCCACTTCGACTGGCAAATGCATCAATTTGCACAACAAACCTACCAGAGAGATCGGAGATAGGTCCAGTGGAGGGATTTGGCGTATTCCTTGTAACCCATTATCTCCGTGATATAGCCAGTTGGTGGTTGGGTTGAGAGGGGGCTGGAGGGGGAGACGCGGATGCCGTGTTAAGCAGCGGGTCTTGACTGAGTACCTGCTGCACCTCCGTGAGTAGTCGGCTTAAAAGGCGGCAGTGACGCAACATGGCGTCGTCTGGCGGACCCAAAATAATCACCGCAACTGCCATTTCTTCACGGTTCTCCAGAGGCACGTCTCTCAACACCCTCATCACGTAGAGGCACACCTCTGTGATGTAGCTGATCACCGCTTGACCAGCTCGGTTTCTGGGTAGGTTATTCTTCAAAGGATGCAGTCTATCGACATTCCTGGTCTGGCAGAACAAGCGGTGGAACCCGTCGCCAAGTTGGACTGCTGAGTTGCCAGCAAAATCTACCAACCGATTGCAGCCAATTCCTGTGGAGAAGAAGTGCAGCGTTTAGAAGCGATACAAGGACACAACGTGGTTCTCTTGACAACTGGCAAATAGTGTGGCTATTTACTTTTGTTGGGACTGCCCTTGTTTCTAACTGGTCTTATTGTCTCCACGGAAATTCGTGTACGGACTTACTACTTAGCACCTGGTGCACCGTTCAATTAACCTCACACCTTCCCGAAATCGAAGATCACACATCCGGTCACGCGATAACGCCGATGTTGTCACCCTGATCGGTTAGCTGGCGACGCGAATATCATTACGTGATAACGTGTTCTAGTAATCTTCAACTCGTAGAATCTATGATTACCCCATTCCATGATCCATGCCAAAGGGATGTGTATGTGTGCATGACTATCGAACCCACTTAATTAACCCATTACCGTCCTCACTAATGACCAGCTCTTCGTGAGACCGAAGGCATAAACAAGGGTGAGACCGTTTACACACTCACACACACACACACGTGTAGTTATGAATCTGACGCAAATATGCAATTGCATGGCATGTGTGAGCACATGCCATGTCGATTAGGAAATGCATTGACTTATCGCATGGAAAGGGTCTGGTGAGTAGGCATGACACATAAATTGAGGGGCACGGAAATAACATACCTGTGGCCGTACTGGGACCAGCTGTCCGCGGTCCACTAGGCTGCGTACACTGCGGGGGCTGGGAGCTGTTTCCTAATTGGTGTAGCCAGTTCGGGTCAGGGTGCGGTGGAGGCGGTGGGGAGAGGCGGCATGCTCCGTTCAGCGCGGGGTCCTTGCAGAGTTACGCTTCTATCTCCGCCAATGGGCGATTCACCAGGTGATAATGGCGAGCAAGCACGTCCGCTGGCAAGCCTAACATCACCAGCCATGCCGTCACAGCCTGCCGACATGCCTCAGACTGGTTCCCGTGGGATAACAGCACCAGAGAGTATATGTCTGTCATATAATCAATAAGGCGTTCCCCCGGCCGGTATCGACGATGGCATAGCTGATTTGGTGACGCGAACATCGCATGTTAAGCAGTGCAAGGACAGACAAGGCGTATCGTTTTCAACTGCACACAACCGCACAGCACAATGCCTTTTATACGCTTTCAGGCGCACTGGCCTCCTCTCTCCTTGGTCGCTTCCAGGATCCTACCACGGAGACAGGCAACTCGTGAACTGATTGGTTCTCGGTATCCATCTCACTGTCCAATCCCCCACCACACGGGATTGTCATTCACACCGTCGATCGCATTATGACGCCATCATAGCAAAGGCTGTGTGTCAAGGTGGTGATGAACGACCGCGATGGCTTAACCCGACGAGTCGGGTTCTGTTAGTCAGCTACATCGCCGTAAGCTGTAAGTTGGCACCAACGCAGACACAGGTGATAAAAGTCTTCCACTGCCAATGTCCATGCCAAAGGCAGGAATAACATGGTGTTCCAGCTGATTTCACAGACGTTAATTGCCGCATATGCTTATTAGCTGATCATTGTGTATGAATGATTAGAAGGTTTACAAGAGAAGTCCATGGCTTGTGAAAGCAGGTATTTGCTTGAATTTCTATGAACCCAAAACGGACGCTCTGATGACAGTAGCCCATGTCGCGCATCTTAGCACGAACTCCTCGTTGGACAGGTGAAGGACAAGCAGAATGCAAATTGAAGAGGCACGGATTCACCACTGCCTTATTCGGGTTGCGCCAATTCAATGCTTTCGTTGACCCCAAATGTGCCAGTTGAATTCAAGTAGTTGTCGGAAAACATGTGTCAAACGTACAGCATTCGTTGCGTCAAAACAGTGATGGCATGTCGACATTTGTGTAGTCGCGTTGAACTATGCTTAGGAGGGAAGTGTATTGTGGATGTGTGTGTCACCACCACGTCCACACGAGATGCTTTCATGGTCGCTTCCAAATGCTCCAACCAGGCATACATAAAACGCGAATCCAATCAGTTATCTTGCGCGAAAATCACTTCGCAGTGATTGTCCACATGTCAATGTCCAGCGTGTCCATTGAAGCAGACGTGTAGAATACCCGAGCCCTAATAGGTAGAAGACTTGTACAACAGAACAGGCTGTATTGACCAATCAGAAGCCAGAGCCACACGTCAGGCGCCCTCCATCCGAGTCTACCAAGTTGGCCACGCCGCTCATTATATACTGCTCCTCGATTGCGTCCTTCTCTGGTTGGCTGCTTATCTTCCGCGCATGCCATTGGAACGCAGAGAGACACAGAATTGGCTGAGGCCAGGTGATCTAATATGTCTGCTCTCTGATCCGTCGCCACAGACGCCTAGTCACGCACGCATCGCCTGGTCGAGCGATGTGGCCTGGGATGTGCTTGACACCTCGACTTGGTCACTCGCAGCTTGTCCTCAGGTGTGAACGTCGAAACAGTTGTCTCAGGAGATGATTGACGTCGATTCACTAGCATAATCATTCCTCTGGTGCGTTCATTTGGATACTATGCCAATCGCCAACAAATCGCCTCCTTCACCAAGAAGTGAATTACATGAGCACGAAGTATTTGTTAACCCGGATGCCGTCACATCATACTTCGATGCATTGCCCTCATCAAAGTCCAGCACTAACTTAACACCATCTACGACTCAAGTATACGTGTGGAATCATAACATCACCACTGTTGCATCTATCCGTGACTTGAACACACTGCTTCCTCCGAGCTGTTATCGTGGAAGTGTTAAATGACGGTTTGATGAACGTGAATTTCGTCAGATGCCAGCTGGTAATTAGGTGGTGATATTTGAGGCATTTGTGGAGCAGGAGTGATGGAAGATGCGTTAAGACACACGGCACACACGAAATCGCTTGATAGTGAATGTGATGCTCAGATTTGTCTTGATGGACATCAAGAATGGGTTGTAAATTACTGACGAGTGCTGACGCCTGGGGCTCTTCCAATTTGAAGATGCTGAGTAGAATTTAGGTCTCAACCTTGTTTGTGCCGTCGGTCTTACGAAGTGTCGGTCAATTACGAGGAAGGTAATGGGTTAATTAGGTGAGTTCGGTACTCACACACGCGCAGTCATCCCTTCGGCAAAAACCATCAAATGCGGTAATCATAGATTCTACAAGTTGAAGATTACTAGAACACGTTCTCACGTAATGATATTCGCGTCGCGAGTTGACAACTCGACGCATCATGCTTTGTCACGTCGTCACCAGCTTAGCACTCTGCCGTTGATCGAGTCCGATCAGGGAGACAACATCGACGTTATCGAGTGATCGGATGTGTGATCTCCAATTTCGTAAAAAATGCGAGGGTAATTAAACGGTGTACCAGGTGCTAAGTAGTAAGTCCGTACACGAATTTTCCGTGGAGACAATAAGATAAATCCGAAACCAGGCAAAAGTAAAAAGCCAGTTGTCAAGCGAACCACGTTGTGTCCTTGTGTCGCTTCTTAGCGCTGCACTTCTTCTCCACAGGAATCGGCTACAGTCGTTGGGTAGATTCGGCTGGCATCTCAGCACTTCAAGTTTGCGACGATTTCCAACACTAGTTCTGCCACACCAGCAATATCCACGGACTGCATCTTGTGCAGAATAGCCTACTCAGATTCCGAGCTGGTCAAGCGGTGATCAGCTAAATCACAGAGGTGTGCCTCTGTGTGATGAGGGTGTTGAGAGACGTGCTGTTGGAGAACCGTGAAGAAATGGGTGTGGCGGGGATTATTTTGGGTCTGCCAGACGACGCCATGTTGCGTCACCACCGCCTAAGTCGACCACTCACGGAAGTGCAACAGATACTCCGTCAAGACCCACTGCTTAGCAGGAAATGGCAAGCAACATGTGAGCACAGTTCGTAATCGCAAGCGAATACCGCTTGCAAGCTTGAGCGAATACGATTCAATTGATTTACTTGAATGTCCTCCACGTAACTCTATTCGTTTAAGGACCGATGCTCAGTGAATCCATGTAACTGCAACTTCTTGTCTGTACAGACACATACTGCTACTGTATCAGGAAATTAGTTGAGCTAGGCGCTACCTGCACTTTTAGCTCTTCTCGCGGCCGAGCCTGCTCTGTGTAAATCGCTGGCCCTAGTTTGGTCCCTTTCAAACCGCACAAGGACGCCATAAAAAGGGCAACTCCATTTATCCCAAAAACACCCTCTCACCCAACCACAAACCAGCAATTTTACGAAGAGCCAATGTTACAACGATAACATTCTACGTCGATTTGGCAAAGTTCCACGCAAGATCCTCTCAGTAAGTCTCTCTCTGGACTCCTCGGTGCGTTTGATCCACTTGAGCGCACTTGCTGCAGGATTATGTGATAAGTTGATGCATTTGCCAGTTGAAATCCGTGAGATTAGATTGTCCCCTAATGGGTGTGCAACCTAAAGTTTTAGAACAGTCAGTAGATTTCGGTAGTGGAGGTTTGTCAATGGTGCTGTAAGTACTATGCTGTATGCACCGCAATTGTGGTGAGCACAGATCATGACGCCTGGCGGTGGCTGTGTGGTTGTAGACGGCGAATAGACAGCTTAACTGAAACGTAGAATGCCATTCTGGGAAGTTGCTTGAGGAGGAAGAACTTGGTCACAGCGACATCATCACGGGACCGGTTCTATGACTTACGAATGTCCTCTCTTACATTTTAGGAGCATTAACCGATGGGAAGATACCAAGGTAACCCCGTCTAAACCATGTGCAAGCTCTATTTGTACGTTGCAAACATAACCAGGCTGTGCACTTGTGTGTCATAAATAAAGAATCTTTGTTTCTCTTTCGGCTCTTGCTTGATGCATGGAGGCAAAGTTGACAATGTAGATAAACCACAAGGGAACGAAATAAATGATGTTCCTGCTAGCAGTTGACACCTCCCTCTTAAACTCTTTTGTGGTGTTGTGGTGTGGTGTAGCGGAATGGCAGGCGGCAGCCATATTGGTGACGGTGGTGAGCGCGGCGCGGAGGCGACGTCACGTG